GGCGTCGCCCATAATGATGGCTGCTATCGTATTGGCTTTGTCCATTGATTATTCGCTTATTCTTCTCACTCGGTTCCGCGAGGAAATCATAATTAGGAAGAAGGGCGTACGAGAGGCCTGTATCGATATGCTGTACTTCAGCGGTATGATTATAGTCAGCTCAGGAGGTATACTATTTTCTTGTTTCGTGTGGATTCTGCTGGTGCCGATTTTCAGAGCGTTGGCGTTAGTTTTCATGGTGTCGGTCCTATGTTCGCTCTCATTGAACCTTATGATTATCCCAACACTTATTATAACATTTCCTAATTTTTTCACCAATTTTACCAACTGTCCGTCCCACTGTTGCGATAAACGCAGTGGTAGCAGAGTTGGAAAATGCTTTCACTTCGACCCTCCTTTGTGGTTCCGCTGGGGTCGGTTGGTAACCAATAGATGGGCATTCATCCCTTCCCTCATCGGAGTCTTGATGTTAGCGGCTCTCTTTGGTTGGTCCAGCTCGCATCTGCGGCTGACTGGTGATGTTAAGCAGTTCGATCCTCGAGGGTCGAGCTTGGAGCGTGTAGGCAACGCTATTGCACGAAGCTTCCCCGAAGGGATTACTGCTCCTTATATGTTGGCTTTTGAATCGACTTCAGCGGCGACAGTATTGTCAGAACCGTACTGGTCCGTTTCAAGGGAGATCTGTGAAAGCATCGCTACACAGCTGTTGGCTAGGCAGAAGCATGGTGCCCTAATAGGACCTCTATATTCGAAAATAACGGGAGAGGATCCTATCAGTCTGAGCTTACCAATGGTGAAAGAGTTACTGAAGCCGTCGTGTTCACTGCCGACATGTCGAGCACTTCAGCTGGCGTTTAATAAGAGCGCCAATACACAACGGACGGCTCTCTTATCTACTCTTATATCAGAACAACGTCCGAGCTCTGCTGAGGCATCCCATTTTCTGGGTCAACTGCGAGACTTAGTGGCTAAGGAGAACGAGAAGCATGGTGGCGTGGTGAAGGTTTGGATCGCAGGCCTTAGTGTCACAGTCGCCGATCTCAACGCGGCTGTGGTCGAGAGCATTCCTCAGTTCACGGGCGCATCCGCGGCTACATGTTTACTTCTTATAGGAGTAACGTATCGCTCTGTAATGATACCACTAAGGAGCATCGTAACTATCGCTCTCACTCTTATAGTGGCATTTGGTATGCTGGTTGGTTGCCAACAGATGGGGTGGTTTAGGTTTCTCAATATTGAAGCCATATCTCCAGCCGTCAGTACTGACATATCGTACACTGTAGCAACACTGGGGTTCTCAGTCATACTCGGCCTGGCCCTAGACTATAAGATATTCCTTCTGGGTAGAGTTGTCGAGGAGCACGATAATGGTCTGTCAGATCAGGCTGCGGTACACGTTGGTGTTTGGAAGACTGGACCTGTTATCACAATGGCTGGAGTCATCATGACCATTGCTTTCTGCGGTCTTCTCTTCGCATCGATGCCACTCATTAACCAAGCGGGAGTCCTGCTGGTCACGGCGGTCTTGTTCGACACGTGTATAATGCGCACTATGGTGACACCGGCACTGCTACGGGTTATCGGTCGGCTCAACTGGTGGCCAAGGAGGTCGCCTCAAGTTACTTGCAACGAT